GATAGGCCTAAATAAAATGTTTTTAATTGTGTACCAGTTTAACGTTGAATATTATTAATGATTTTAATCACGCTGAACTCAATCTTCTGTTACTCCTATACCTTCCAAGAGCCAGTCCAGAATCAAAGTTGTAGTTATATAAAAATTTTGAGTACATTTTATTAAAATGATTTTAAAACTTCACCACGTCCTTACAATCCCTATCAACACATTCGTTCATGTCCTATTAAACGACCCTGCAACATGACAATAGAAACGTAGCGTAGTTTATATTGCAAAAGGCTCCACAGTTAGGCAGTCATGTCCAAAGCACGACACTCCTCTGTGCTGGTTTTCGATAATCCATCTAGTGTACGAGGACAAAGATTTTATAGTGCCCGTTTCAAAAGTCTGATCACACAGAATCCTTAGACGCTGCACCCAGCGGCTTGACCGGTATGTCATCCATGAAATAACATGAATACCAGTTTAATTTTCCAGCTACTTGAGGTAAGCGACGATTAAACGGACATGTTGTAAAAATAACTTGGATACCCGTGACTTTTTCGCTATTCTAGACAGAGATCCTTCTCGATTATGTTGCGTACTGCTGCCTGGGACACGTGGACGGTTTTTGCCACTTTCCTTTATGTCCATATATTACAAGACGCCGAACTTCGGTTACCACTGCTGGAGTGAGACTTGTTGCAGGTTCTTTTTTCTGGATGGTCCTGGCTCCTTCAGTTGATACATATTCCCTTGTTTTTCCAAATCCAATAATTGCTGAATATAAACCTGTCTTGAAAATTCCAAATCCCCGATCTGAACAGTTTTTAGCGACATCACAACTACGAATGCCAAACAATGTCAAAATATGGTTCTGATGCATCAGTTACACCGTGATTGGCTGTGTCTGTCACGTGACTTGCTGATTTGCATATTCAAAATAATTTAACATAAGGTACTTAACCTTCTGGAGAAAAGCTACAAAATAATTATGTACGTGTCTGATTTCGTAATTATATGTTCATTTTGTCTGGAAGCACAAGACAAAGAACTCAGTACGTTAAGCCTAACAGCCTATTAGGGTATTATCCAAAAATGAGCCCGATATTTACCGTGACATTAAAGATAAATTTTTTATTCTTGATTTTACTTAACGTTATTTTAGTTTTAACGTTAAAACCTTAAGGATAATGTTGCTTAATAATGTTATGTCCACTTGACAAGTTTATTACGTCCCTTTTAAAAGCATAAAAGAAAATATGGAATTAAGAATCATTGTGTTGCCGTTTCGGCCGAAACGGCAACACAATGATTCTTAATTCCAGATTTTCTTTTATGCTTCGTCTCACAGAAGTCGAACTGGTAAGAAACGTAGACAATATTTTAATAGTCATTCTGTTTATTTGGTTGGTTTTTGCGCAAAACTACACGAGGGCTATCTGCACTAGACGTCCCTAATGTAGCAGTGAAAGACTAGAGGGAAGGCAGCTAGTCATCACCACCGACCGCCAGCTCTTGGGCTACTCTTTTACCAACGAATAGTGGGATTGACCGTCATATTATAAAGCCCTCGCCGCTGACAGGGAGAGCATGTTTGGTGAGAGGGGGATTCCAATCCGCGATCCGCAGATTGCGAGTCGAGCGCCCCCTGACCTCAATAGTCATTCTAGCTTTTGTGTTGACCTGTGATTAAACAAAATTTAAACAAGCCTTACTGATCGTCTCTTAAACAATTTGGATTTACCGCACACAAAGCATTGAGTTAAAAAAGAGTTAACCAAAGAAATCTCAAGAAGGTCGACAATAAAGATTATACATTTTTCAAAGAAAATATGGGGTTTATTTTGATGTAAAACAAACGATGTAGGTGCAATTTTGTTTTTTGAAAATTAAAGTTTTTTTCAATGCCTACTATTATTATAACAGTTATATAATAGTCTGGTCAGTTATATTGACCTGTCCAGTAATACGTAGAAATCTTTTATTTCTTCAGATATTGTCTTGAATTTCAATTAATGCGAACTTATGTTTGTTTGCTTGGAATTAAGCACAAAGCTACACAATGGGCTATCTGTGCTGTGCCCACCACGGGTATCGAAACCCGGTTTCTAGCGTTGTAAGTCCACAGACATACCACTGTGTCACTGGGGGCACGAACTTATGTAGTACGAGCATCGGAATTAATGATTTTTTTTAAAAACCCTATACTTAATCAATAGTGTTAATTCTCCTTTTTTAGCTAAAAGTATTACGCTAAATTGATACTTTTAGTAGTTTCAGTATGTCATGTTTTCCAAGCACGAAGTAAATACAGCAAACAAACTCTTGAATATAAAGAGCATTTACTGAACCTGACAGAAATGCACACAAAAATATCTTAAAACTCAATTAATATAAACAAATCCAAACACATAGTCAAATCTTGCTAACTGTTTTCCAAGCATTTTAAACTTCCATCATTGACGAGAGTGGCCGTTCACACATTACCAGTTTCGTTTCTAGTTCACTGTAAACAACCCTATATTCCTAAAGATGTTGTCAATTCGACCAAAACAAAGCAATGCAGCATAAAAGCTTTGTCACATTTATTTTAGAATACTAACAAATTCCTAAGCACTGATACATAAATTGAACAAATAAGATTTTGTATAAACGCAAAATAATGAACTGTTAATAGATTAGGATACGGAGAGACTGCTTTACGTTACAGAAGACGTTACTTGCAACCAAGCAAGTGAAAAACAAAACAAAAACGATTAATAATCATATCATGATTACACGCCCAAATGACGTTCTAAAGTGGTGATTTTTTTCTTTTTAGTTAAAAAAAACAACAAAACAACTTTAAAGTTGTAAATCTTCCTTTCCTTTTTATAACTATAATATTTTCATTTTTTTCAATGAGCCGAAATGTGCCCCCCTTTGGGCGGAAATCGATAGTCTGGCCCTACAATGGAGGAATTCCTCTAGCGGCCAATGCTTCAAACGAGGATCTCCAGATGTGTATAATATAACGACTAGGTAAGTGTTTTTTCGTATTTTCTACAGTTAGTCTCGTTCGTAGAAAGACCATCTGTGGTAGGGATGACGTTTTTTATTATCGTCTTTACGGCCATCGTTTCTTCTCTTATGGTTCCAGGGTCGTTTGGGGCATTCTCCTGTTGAAGAGTTAAAATGACCATACACACAATCGGGAACGTGACACTGACCAGTTTGGACGCACCTAAAATAAAGAAAATAAAAAACGAATTTATGATTTATTTATCTATGATTAAGTCGTGTACGGTTGATAAATAACATCGTTTTGTTTCTGTTATCGGACTGATAAAGATGTCTTAGGTATTTTCCATGAATTGGAGAACATATAGGACGTTTCATTAGACAACAATACTAAATTAACACAATGGCTGATAAAGATGTCTTAGGTATTTTCCATGAATTTGAGAACAGACCGGACGTTTCATTAGACAACAATACTAAATTAACACAATGGCTGATAAAGATGTCTTAGGTATTTTCCATGAATTTGAGAACAGATAGGACGTTTCATTAGACAACAATATTAAAAGATTTCTTAGGTATTTTTCATGAATTTGAGAACAGATTGGACGTGTCATTAAACAACAATACTAAATTAACACAATGGCTAACAAAGATGATTTAGCTTGTTTTGTTTAACTTCAACTAACATAAAATAGGAGTAACAGCTAAAGAAATTAAATTTTTAGTTACAAATGAATACCAAATAGAAGATTAGCAACCGAGTACATCAAAAAATAAAAACTCGTTCACATCTTCACATAAAAAAAAACTGGGACAATAACGAAACTAAATCTTAAGAGTTTCCTTTTCTTTAAAACCCTTTTTTCTATAGGATAATATAAATTTTTGAAGCAGATAAATTAGAACAATATTTTGAAAACGTAGCATTAAGTACATTCTTTTTAGAACCATGATCATCATTTTGGAATTTTGTATATAGATCTTAACGAAACCCAACATTTTGACCAGCGGTGTGCAGTACTTCACATACCATTAAAAAGTTTATTAGAAAGATATTATATGATACAAAACGAAATGAACACCACATCTAGAGAAGAAGAATGAAACAAAATAGTTTTGGTATCTAATTTTTGCTTTTTTCTTGAAATTGAAAATTAAGCAAAGATTTGGAAATTTAGTTTTATCCAGGATTACATAGAACATCGACAACTTATCTACTCCTAACAACAACAATAAACAAAAATATTGTTACGACAGCGGAAGTCACGTGATGCTTGTAACACGTGTTGAGTTTCTAGAAGGATCGGGGAACATCACGAATAATCCAGTATTTGCTAAACGCCCTCTATTCTTGTATATAAGCGCGCCAGATAAAGCGAGATAATTAATCGGAACTGGAACAGCAGACAGAGAGATTGAAGATATAGACAAATAATCGAGTCAAGCCGTAAGTAAAGTGTGTAAATCATTGTGAATTATAGCATGTGTTTAAGTTAAAGTAACTGTGGAAATTAAGTGTATTGCAAAGTTGTATTGAGAACGAATAAACTAGTTTTAACTAAGAAAGGACTTGTATCGTTGAAGTTTCTCGGAAATATTTTTTACGGGAAATTAACGAACGACCAGAGACGTAACAATATTCAACCACATCTTGCATGCTGTTAGTTACGTGTTCTGGTGTTTGAGAAATTTCTAACTTGAAATTCAAAACATCTACTTTGAAATCATAGAAGTTATAACTTAGACTTTTTGTTTGTTTGTAGTTAAACACAAAGCTATACAACGTGCTATTTGTGCTGTGACCACCACTGGTATCGCAACCCGGTTTTTAGCGTTATAAGCCGCAGTCTTACCACTGTGCCACTGGGGGATAAATGATTAGGTGGGCTTGATTTCAGTAAGCCTAAATGTTTATATACTCAAGTATGTCTTCGTAGGGTGGTCGGTAAGAAGTCGTGTAAATAATAATAATAAAAATAGGCACGTTTATTAGAATTAACTTTATTTATCACAAAGAAATTGACATTTGGTTAAGTAATTTATATTTTAAAAGTTTATAAGTTAAATACGTAGTTTTCAAACATAAACCTTTATGCTTTTTATGACCGTCGGCCATCGATTTGAAAATTACTGACTGGTCTGGTGTCCAGCCGATTTTTCCGCCTATATTCGAAATAATAATAATACACTTACCTTCTTTCAACCTCCGACATTACAGATCGCCCTCTCTTTATTCGTAGACATGGTTTCTGATGATCGAAGCAATCACAGCTACATCGTCCATCCGGGTATTCTCTTCTATAAAATGGCAGTGGACACTCACGACATCTATAGTGAAGAAGCAAAAAGCTAATCTTAAATTAATTATTAATTGAAAGAATAACCCGTTTGAACAAGCCTTAACGATCAACATTAACGCAACAAACCAGTATAAAAGTTAATACATTTTAAACACAAACTTGGAAAACGTTAAGCCTATTTTTTGTTGGAAAATAGTTAAGCCTATTTTTTGTATATAGTTTCCATTTAAGAACAACAAGGAAATTCAACTATAATAGTGAGTTATAAGAAACAGCGAAATAAAATAATTAGAAGCAATACTGCCGCCACTTTCTACATAATCCTTACAACGCAGAGGAGGATTTGACCTTAGGCAAAAGCAACATTAACACCAAACATACAGTCTATCATTTCCTAATTAAGCCACTGAACCTTAGCTCTTAAAATGCTAAACAAACACCTGTTTATGTATGATCTTTAAACGTGCCTATCATTGATCGTAACAAACTTCAAGAGTCATGAGATCCTCGTACTAACTGTCTTTTTATACATAAACAAGTTACTTTACTGAGATTTCTCGTCACGAAATATCCTGGTATCAGACGTGACACCTGTCACCTCAACATGAAAGTGTGTTAATCAGTCAGTTCAGAGAATCGCTGAAAGTTATAAATTGTGCCCTTTACGCCGGCTTTATATTGGGGAAGATAAATAATTACGTCCGTTGAATGCAAATGGAAACGTTTTAATAAAACTGATAATGGTTATATAATTCTTGTTGGCCTCAAAAAAGCAAAGGTATGAGTGAAATGTTCAAACTTGTTGTTAATTTTATTGTGTTGTTCTTAAAATAGACCACGCTATTAATGTACACAGAATTAAACTTGAAATTCCAGATTCTTTACCAAAGGAAATCGAATAGAAAAAAATGAAACATCAGAAAAAAAATGGTTTCTTGGTTTTCACAACGTCAGTGGCAAGAAGTTCAAATTTTAGTTATATCTCCAACAAGTCACAAACACCTACTGTAGAAGAATTCTTAGCCAATACGCACACATTTGAACTTACTATATATACTACTAAAAAGTTAAGTTTCTGACAGTCATATAACTTCTAATAGTCTTGTATGAGAAGTTGCTTTCAATCTTCATGCATGTGTACCTCAACAAAAGCCCTCCAATTATCTTTTGGAAACAAGCCAACTTTGATGGTTTCGAGTGTCATTCGTCGATAAATGAACAGCACGCACTCCGCTTGTTTTGAAATAATATATTTTAAACAAATTAAACGTATGTACAAAAATTATTTACACTATGTATACATAGTTGTATGTTAAATACAATACAGTTCTCTTCTTCGTGTCAAAAGTCCATTTAGGCCAATTCAATTGCTTCAGAATTCAGTTGACAAGCCGAACTATTATTTTTTCTTTTTTATGACAACAATATCGGTGTATAGTTCACTTACGCCGCCTCGTGAGTTACCGCAGTTGTATCCTGAACTTCCGAAACTCGTCTGCTTTTTCATATTTAGGCTTACTTCCAATAAACGCCCGCTTTTTCGCATATAGGCCTACTTCCAAATAATCGTCTGCTTTCTGTCAAAGTCCACACAGGCAGGTTCAATTGCTTTAGAACACCCTTTGACGAGGCAAATTATTATCTAAAATATCAGAAAACTGTTAATCTCACTTTAACATATTAACCGTTAGGCTATTCACTTCTAAGACGGTTAACTTTATGTTTTCCAAACTTTCTCTGACTGAAACTTCTCTCTTTCTCGGCTTTACTTTTGGCTCTGTTCCTGCTCTCTTTTTTTCACGCTGTTTCCTGCTCTCTTTATACGCCGATATTGTTGTGATTAACTAAAAAATGTATTAGCCTATTGTATGTTTCTTAATGAATGTGTGAATGTAAGACCTAACTTCCGGAAAACTTAAACATTTGGAAAATTACCTTTCATCAACTATAGACGCTTCACCATATGTACAGGTAACCTATACACTACCTTCGATGTAACACATGTAAAGTACAATAATTTCCTAAATTGTAATTACCTGTAAGGTCATAATATGCGTCATGGTTGTCAATAGCATAAGATTTTTCATATCTTCTAATGCTAAGCTAGCAAAAACAAACTTGCCTACGATTATCCATGGTCTGAAGTACCTATCTCAAACTATCCCCTATTTTGTTCCTATAATTTATCACCAAAAGGCCCCCCATAACATTTTGCAACCTGGCTGAGGCCCCTGCCCAATGCATCTATAGATTTATGAGTACCTTAATAGTATTGTGTATTTTGTGTACTTGTCACTTTCATGCAGCCACAAGTTTTGGAATCCTTGTTCTAACGTAATATTAGGATTTTCTGGATAGTTTAAAATGCGGTTACCACAAACAGGTGTTACTTGATTTTACTTATACCAATCCGGATATCATGACTCTTAAATACAAATTACAGACTAGAACAAACTCTTTTAGTCTGAGACTCACTTGATGGGAATAAAAAACTTGAGGCCCCCGAACCTATAGAAATGCCTTAAAAGGTCCTCCCCACTACTTTAGCATGGTGATTGAAAAACAGTGACGTAGTAAAAATAATAACATCTCCTTTCAACTTGCTGTATCATTTAATTAATTCAACATAATTTTTATCGGCTTATTGTTTATTTAGAACTAAAACTGATTCAGCATCTTTGTTTTCGGCCCATTTATGGTGGCCCACCAGAAAAAGCTTCACGGCCGCCAGTGGGCCGCGACTCCCACTTTGGAAAACACTGGGCTAGAGGATATATTACTCTAGGATAAACTGCATTACAATATATTAGAATACAGTAGAAAATATAGATGTTAAAGCTGGTGCACCCTAAACGTATGATTGACGTAACCAGGATTACCCAATGGGGTTAGAGGTGCAAATCAGGTGGTCAAATCTGCCTAGCTCTTTGATGCATCCAAGAGCTAATGGTGTTTGATCAGTAGAGATTTCAAGTTAAAATAAATATTATGAGAAATTGGAAAACAAATTGATAACCTCCAGTATTTCAGTGGCAGATTAACGTTAATGTTGCATTTTTAATAGAACTTCCATGATAAAAAGTTAAAACGCAAGACCACTATTTGAGAATAATAAAGGCGGGAGGTTCAAACTAACCAATAGTCTCCCCACCCACCCCCTTTCCCTGAATATGCTACTCCTTATGGTTCTCCCTTAATTTTTTATTTGTATTTCTGGACATTTTAATTTCTACATCTGTACATGATTCTTGAATGCCCTAATATGTATACTTTTCTTTTTATTAATCTTCTCGTGCCTAAACGTGAAACTTACATTCTCAAATGGTTAATGCAGTCCAAGTGGCAAAGTTCAATGCCTTCGAAACAAAGTCTTAATTCTTGTTCTGGTTAATAGTTAGCCTCAATGAAATAAGGCATACAAATGGTTTCAAGGAATGACATGCCCAGGAACTTATGCTGTACCATCAGCGTGAGCTGTTCGTGCTAAAACTACTGTTATTAGCCAGTAAAAGCAGCTTATGCGAGTGCTTTGGTTTAAAAAAAAAAATGTAGGCTTGTTAAACGGTATTCTGCTTTAAAGTTGACGTCACGGAACTTGATCCTTGTACTGAAACATGAAACTATGCAGGTAAAAAAACATTAACATGTTGTTATAGAACACCGCATGTGCGATCAACAAAAATGTATACCACATAATGTAAGATAAACGTTTGTCGTGCCACGGCGTACGCCCCCTGCAGGGTAATAGTTAAACCAGACAGAATGGTGATCTTCGGGATTAAGTGGGGTCACTTTCATTATGCTCTGCCGCCACTGTAGTTTCCACAGGAATGTAGGTATTGGCTCTACTTTTTTTTTGGAATGACCAACCAGCCCGTTCGACTAGTGTTGCCACCCAACCAACCTGTACGATTAATGTTGCTACCCAACCAACCTGTACAAACACTACCTATCTTAGTGCTCATATCAACTCACTCGTACAACTGTTTTAGTGCTAATATTCTGTACAACTAGTGTTAATTATACATTTTTTAATACTTATTCTTAGTCGCAGAATGAAATGTGTTAACGCTCAGATTCCTTCTTTTAAAGAAGAAGAAGAAGAAAAAGACAAACTATTATCTATTCCCGGAGAAGTAGATTAAAAGTCAAAATTGTAATGGATATTCCTGAAAGAACGTGTACATTTACTTTATATTATTCGCTGGTATTACTCAGGCAGAAAGACACAAAATGGATGGATATAAAATAAAGAATTTAATTAGGTATAATTTTGCTGCTAAAATCTACAAATAGGCTTCAGTTGACTAATGCGTCATATACATGTAGTCTTTATATTGACCTTTCCCAGCGTTATAAGTATACTATTAATATAAATTAAAAACTAAATAAGAAGCTGAGTAATGTACCGTTAAAATCTGAAAGGGGAGGGGAAGAAAGCGATAAGAGGGCGTGAGAATGTTGCAGAGATATTTAGAAGTTGATATAATACCAGAGACGCTCCCGTACATTTTCCATACAGAGAATTAGTCCACCAGATGTCACGCCTGCTTCGTATCGCTGGGTAACCGTATACATATTACTCAACTCCATGCGAGCCAGACGTGCCTAAAGAGCTTTAATACTGCTAACACTAACGCCGAAGATCGTTTATTTGTAGTGGTTGAGCTACTCCGTTTAACAATGTATATACAGACACGTTGGTTTATTCATTAAGGATGTTTTTCTAATCTAAATGATAGCTGACGAGTCCATTAAGGAAAATGATGGGTTAATTCCGTAAAGCAGTGGGACATATTACACGCATCATATACATGTAATATTTCATATCAAGCTTATTAGAATACTTTACCTGGAAAAGTTAAATCGTTTTGTTAAGGAAGAACTTTTTTTTGGGGGGGGGGCAGTTACTCTCGTTTAAAATAAAATTTGGAAACTTCGATGATAACAAAACCATCACATCTTGACTTGTCCTCCTTCTTTCTCGAGAAAACAACAAACATAATTTATATATACAATTTCAAACTGAATTGTTTGTATTTACTTATCTTTGTTTGCTTTTTTGATCAACTTTGAGCTTAAAAAAAACAACAATACAAAACTAATGGCCTTTCTACGATAGGACAATCGCAGGGATCGAACACCCCACATTTCGTGAGTTCCCATCTTACTAGTGAGATACTGAGATACCAGATGATGGGGGGGGGGGGTATTTTCGGAAATAAGTTACTACAAGTTTAACTTGAGGCTTACTTTGAGTCTTCCTGGCTAGGCGGATGACGTAAGGGGTTATCCAATACTGGATGTTGTTCCGGATCAGTGCTAGTTTCTAGATCCTGATCCAAATTCGGATCCGATTCCTCTTGTATTCGTGGCTGGTTGTTGATAGGTTGACATTCACATTCGGTATGATTTACAAAAAGGAGTTTGTCCACGGCGTCACTTGAACCAACGTATGTGCCTTGTTTCCCAATACGAAGAGTCTGTAAAAGTGTAAGCAGCCATTATATCATACGTTCACCACGTCTTTCAAAACAGCCTAGTTTTTCATGTAAAAAAAACCCAAAACGAATTATCTGAAGAGCATCCCGTTTCTGAAAGAGATCAGATAACTCATTACATTAGGCAATTTATTCGTTGTTGTTTAAAAATTGTGGATAATTCAGGAAGCATGTTTGTTTTTATTGTTTGTTTTTTAAATTATGCACAAAGCTACACAAGGGCTATCTGTGCTCTGCCCACCACGGGTATCGAAACCCGGTTTCTAGCGTTGTAAGTCCGCAGACATACCGCTGTGCCACTGGGGGGCAATTCAGGAAGCATCATCTATGTGCATCATGAAAATATATCATTTTATTCAAGTATTTATCTCTTCATTTATTTTTTTGTATACATCATCATATCACAATTTGATACCACTTTTAACATTTTCGATGATGTTCTTCAGAAGACAAAGAGAACCCACAAAAGGACCCACCCATTAATTCACCAGAAAAGGGGGTGGGATAAAGAAAGAAAAATAATATCTTATATAATGAGGAAGTCGAGTTTTTCGTATTTAGGCCTAGATCGTTTCTTTACCTAGAAATGTACAGGAGAGTTAAAGCTACTTTAGCAATCCAGACGTACGTGACGTGGTATTCAAAACTATTGACCAGTGTTGGACATTCTGAGTAGCTAAGTACATTCACTTGTGTTGTGTACAAAAAATACGTAATAAATACTTTAGCAATTACAATAATAATAATAACAAGCATGACTTGTCAGACCAGTTATCTGTGGCGTGTTAGATATTTATCTATCTGTTGAAGCTATTTGTGTTTCTGCACAGTTGGTAAAGCCAACAGATAGTCCTAGCTCGGCCGATATCATTGCTGTTTTTACAGCTCACAATTATGGTAAACAAAAAAAGGCAAACAAAAAAATTACAATTATACGGATTAGGCGGCCGAAGCTTTCTCAATATGCTTTTTCCAATATTTCTTCAAGAATATTAAAAGTAATTACTTTAATTTTATTAACCATTAAATAATAAAGCTCCCGTCCAAGTGGAGGAAAATATAATTTGCTTTATTTAAAAAATAATAATTTTTCAAACTTTTTATTTTAAACTTTGTAGCGTCTTAACTAAGCTCTCAAGCTACTGGTAAAAAAGACAACGAAGTGAATTTTACGTTTAGGGTTAGAAGAACATGTGTCACGATCAGATAAGCGCAGTTCTTGTTAATCGAAATGTCAGTTCAAATAGTTTTTAAGGGTTAAGGGCAGTTCGAGGGCTGGCCTAAATATACACGTTTATATTCCTTTGCAACAATGAATGTAATTAATGTTGAATAGATACGATAAAAGTTCTGAGTCTATCCATCAAGTGTACTTAGGCTGAACATCGACGTACTGCTAGTATTAAAGCATCAAAATTATTCATGTTTCTTTGACTCTTGTTTCAACGAGATAATAACTTAACAATTAAGGTCGCGAAATAATTAATTAAAGCAACAATGAGGTATCGGATGATTCACAGGCAAATGGAATTTATCAAAATGTCTATTTAAAGCGTTATGAATTTGTCATGGGGGCCACTAAACGAAGTTATCAAAATAAATAATCGTGAAAAGATAGCTTCTCAAAAACTGAATATGCAATAAATGATACAATATGAATACTATGAGAAAAAATACATTTTATAATTGCTTGTTTCTAGTTAAGCTCAAAGTTTCACAATAGACTTTCTGCGCTGTGTCCACCTCAGGTATTGCATCTAGGTTTTAAGCGTTATAACCCTTCAGTCTTACCGCTATGCCACTAAGGGGGGGGGGGCATTTTCTAACTGAAGTAATCGATTTGGGTATTTAAACACTAACGAAAAAATTAACGATATTTTTTCTCCGCAATAGTGGAATATACTTGCTATTTAGAATACAAGTTTGTCACACAAAATGTTTCCATTGTTAATCACACAAATTGTTTCCATTATTAATTTTTTAAAAGTAAATCTGCTTAAACTTTCTTCTTACTCCTGAAGGGATTTTAATACATACGATTAACAACAACCTCAGATCAATAGGCTCAGTCTGCCTCGAGGAATCGAACTCCGGATTTTAGCACTGTAAATCCGTAAACTTACCGCGGGACACAAGCCTAAGAAAAGTGTTCAAGGGGTATAAAATCGTGAAATGTACTGAGTGAGCCCCTTTCGTCAGTATTTGTGATATGCTTAAGATTTATTATTTTTTTACCAATCTCTAACGGTTCAATTCTAACCCCCTAAGGTATATTTTGTTATTTTTACCAATCTCTAACGGTTGATTTTTATCCCCCTCATCTTCCAAGGTATATTATTTTTACCGATCTCTGACGAACCAAATCTATCCCCCACCTCATCTTCTAACAATCCAATTTTATTCCCCCGCTTTATGATATTTTTTTTACCGATCTCTAAGGATTTATCTCTATCCCCCCCCCCATTTTCTATAATATGTTATTTTTATGTCAATCTAACAGTTTAATTCTATCCCCCTCCCTCATCTTCCTGTTGCCTTGAGTATTTCAGCTCATACAAAATTTACACGTAGATTTCCTACTGTCATTCATATTTCAAGAAAGGGGTCAGATAAAAAAGACGAGCTTTAGGGGAGGAAAAAAACAACAACATTGTTTTCACATTACGCAAATAACTTTACTAGGTAATGTTTTCACTTAAAAATATCAGTCAGTATTGTCCTCTAAGCTCACCAGGTGGTACTATCATTTAAATATAACGGGTAGCCCTGAATATCGAAGCTCATATTTCGATCAAAACTCACCAGGTGGTATTCATATTTAAATATAAGTCTCACTTTTGTTGCCTAAGCTCACAAAATAAATTTGCCGTCAAAGATCACCAGGTGGCCTTGCTATTGAAAGTCACCGGGTTATTGCTATTAAAACTCACCAGGTAGAAGTATTACTATTTAAGTAACACCAGAAGTTTCACAAGAAAGAAAAAAAAAGTCATACGAGTACATTTATTGTTTTAGAAAAAGAGTATTTTAACCCCTTGTAATCCATCTTGAATCTCGAGGGACGTGTACGTTATCTATCAATACGTATTACATCGTTATTTCGAAATTTTATTTTACACTTTCCAAATTTTCCATTTCGGTACCAGCCTTTCCATGTTCGTTGACACCTGTTTGTTACTAACACATTTAAAACATTTTGGACAACACATTCGTGTTTGCGTGCTAGTGGGAGGGGGAGGGTAGATATTACCTCTAATTTAAACATAACTATGTTTCTTTGTTGTTAAGCAGAAAGCTACAAAAAGGGCTATCTGTGCCGTGCCCACCGTGAGTATCGAAACCCCCATTTTTTAGCGTTATAAGCCAGCGTCTGTTTTATAATAATGTATCACGACCACAAGTAGAAACTCACTGTAAGAGCAAGGCATATTTTTATTTCATAATAACTAATTCATTGTAGCCGTTAAGGAAGCAAACATTGTATAAAGAAGAATGTTAGATAATGTCCCCTTCCTGCTTTATTTTGTTATTAAATCCCTAATGACCCCAATAGATGCTAATTGCATCCCCTTCTTTGTGGAAGGTAATAATTGACTCATTTAACTGATTAACTACTTGTGTATTTAAATTCATGGCCAAGAAGCTATAAAAAAAGTGGAAACATGCCCTATTTCGGGCTGGGTTTTTTTTTTCATCTCCCTTCTCGGTTAAAAATCCTAAAACAAAACAACCCAGTTTTCAGTTGTCACACAAAAACTTGCGGAAATCGAGCCAGCCAACTCTGGGTGAGAGATGCTAATATACACAAACACAGTTGATCACCTTTATAGTAAGAAATATTAAGAAATTTTGTCTAATTAATACGTAGAGTATGATCCGAATCATTCCAAAATAATATTTAGTCACACGAAGGTGACAAAGACAAGCCTGAGGTAAGTACTTCTTAAAATTAGCTATTGACAAGCAATTAAAACAGATAAAATAATTTATAACTGGCCTGGCATCTGATTTCCAAGTAAAAAAAACAAAAAACAAGGATAAAAAGATGACGAAAATCGTCGTATTGAGAGCGAGAGGAAATGAACTATCGTGGTTAGTAGTTGTGAACACTTTATTAAAGAAAGTTTACTCTAGGCTAATAAATCATACTAATTTATAAAAATACGACAAAAGCAGGCTTTGATCTTACAGTTAGTTACTACGTGTGGTCGTGTTTATCATATACTGTATTATAAAACAGAAGCAGGCTTTGCTCTTACAGTTAGTTACTACGTGTGGTCGTGTTTATCATATACTTTATTATAAAACAGAAGCAGGCTTTGCTCTTACAGTTAGTTACTACGTGTGGTCGTGTTTATCATATACTGTATTATAAAACAGAAGCAGGGTTTGGTCTTACAGTGACCCACCTATCCACCCCCACAAGCTTTCAGCAGAAGGTCACTAAGCTAGTTGTTGACCTTGTTGATTTGTCCTTGCTATATTTAACATTATCTACATGATAGAGAGGTCAGTTTGGTTACTTTACTCGATTATATTATATACATAAGATAGATACAGTGTACACTTGCTATCGAACGGTAGGTTTTTATAGACACCAGCTGGTAATGCTTGGAATAGGAATGCCATACATGGAGTATAAGATAAGGCTATAACCGTAAAATTACATCATATCTGCTCGAAATCCACAAATCAAATAATTGTTCTTCAATTTTTAAAAAATATTTATGTAATCTAAATGACGATTTAAAAAAAATGAAGATTAAAGCCAAATATTAATTTCATATTGCACCCATTCATTAGCAAGGAGTGTAAACAAAACTAGGCAGTTTACTTACATTTAATTGCAAACTAAGGGAAAACTCGTGCTTCGCGTACAAAACTTTTTAATTGTGGTATTTTTGTAAATGAATGTACAAAGTTTGTAAAATGTGAAAGGCAGTGATCTGTATCTAAAGTAATTACGACAGTTAAGTGACCTGCCTACACTACTCACATATGATGGCCGTGAGGGGCGTATCAATGATTGCGAGGTTAAACCTATTTCACAAAACGTGATACCCACCAAACACCTCTAGTACAAAAGATACTTTAGAGCTGCATGGTCTGATCAAAACTGACAAACGAACAGACTCATCTGGCAAGATACGCCAGATCTAACGACGCTTTCAAAATCTCGGTACAGAGGGACAGTACTCGTAGTCTAAGTGTCCATAAACAAATGTAGGCATTCACAAACATAACCTTAACACAGCTGTCTGGGGGTGGGGTTCTTATGACAGATCCATTTCCCCTAACACCTTTTCATTCACAATGCATAGTACTATTTACAACCTCTGTTACGCATACAGTGACGTCATCAGCACTTCCCTACTCCTAACGTCATTTTTGCATAGTTTAATAAAGTTTAAAAAACTTCCCACGGACGCACACGCGGTACTCTTTTAATTATATAGATGTTTTTTTTTTAGTTGTTTTTTTTAAACACTTGAGCTCCACTCTTTCTTCTACTGACTTCTACAAACCAGTACTTACATAGAAATAAAGAGCAATCTCTTGGACAGATCTGGGACCACATTTCATTCTTTCATTATCACAACACCCGCTGTCTTCTGTACACCTGTGTAAAATTGTACACCTCGGAAGGTATTTCTTACTGGGATCCGGATAGTAGTCCTCGATATGTACCACCAGAGGGCGTGGTGTGTGGCACATTGCCGTCTGTCTGATCTGGAGGAAATGTTCATTGGCTCGGCGAATATCTTCTATATCTAAAAACATACGAAATCTTTAACCGATCTACATATTTCCATATTACATTTATAGACTCTTGTGGTACTAACGTTCGCCGTTAGGTGCGATTTATCGAGCGGGAAAGAATATATATATATATTTTTTTAAAGTTAGAGACGGTATTTATTATATTTTTTGTTAATTTTATGTTTGCAGAACATAATCTCCTGCCCACTATTTAAATAGTTATTTAGTTGTATCTTGACATTTTGCGGTCTTTAATATTATAAAGAAACTAATTGTGTTTGTTTAAATAATGTTAATATTAGTTGGTCATTAGATTTAAATCCTTATTAATTTGGAACAGAAATAGGCTAATCTTCGTATTGCAAGGTAAACAATATGAACTCACAAAAACGTTTACAGGCTTTGCAAAAACATTTGACGACTGACCGAAAAAACAAACAAACAAGGATCAAATTTAATTCTGACTAACATCAGTTCAGTACTAAATAACCCTGTAATTTGTAAATTAGGGCAACATTAAGCAAAACATTAGGTTTTTGGAAAGTTTTACAGTCTGATTGGTGAATGTTATGCAGTCAACATGATCAGATTTAGAGATTGGTATTATGAGTGCTGGTTGTGTGTGATCATTTCCAGGTGTTTCGAGAAGTAATGTTAACCCGTTATTTAGGCTTAGTATTGTTCGATCTTGGAATTTGTATCGAAATTAATACGTTTGATGTGTACAGGACGGGCTATACTAGCATACTTACGATTGAACGAAAAGAAATGCAAACATTTTCGAAATTCTAATTTTTCAGAGGACTAGCTAACATTTTTTTTCTTTTATTAGTAAATTTTCAAATAGCATCCTTTGGGATATTTCATTTAAGACTTCTGTTGAAAGACATTAATTAGCAACACACGTATTATTACTTCACATCTCATGACGTTACTACAGGTTACTTAGCAACACATGGATCATTACTTCACAGTTCGTGGCATTACTACAGGTCACTTAGCAGCACGTGAATCATTATCATCATAACCTCACAGTTCGTGGCATTACTACAGGTCACTTAGCAGCACATGGATCACTATCATCATAACCTCACAGTTCGTGGCATTACTACAGGTCACTTAGCAGCACATGGATCACTATTGTCATTACCTCACAGTTCGTGGCATTACTACAGGTTACTTAGCAGCACATGGATCACTATCGTCATTACCTCACAGTTCGTGGCGTTACTACAGGTTACTCAGCGACACATGGATCATTATCATCATTACTTCACAGTTCGTAGCGTTTTTACAGGTTACTTAGCAACACATGGATCATTATCATCATTACTTCACATCTCATGACGTTACTACAGGTCACTTAGCAGCACATGGATAATTATCATTACCTCACAGTTCGTGGCATTACTACAGGTTACTTAGCAGCACATGGATCACTATCGTCATTACCTCACAGTTCGTGGCGTTACTACAGGTCACTTAGCAACACATGGATAATTATCATTACCTCACAGTTCGTGGCATTACTACAGGCCACTTAGCAACACATGGATCACTATCGTCATTACGTCACATCTCATGACGTTTCTGCAGGATACTTAGAAGAATAACCATGAACATAAAATGTACTCAGTGAAAGAACAGAAGTTCAAACTCTTCGAAATTAAAAGTTGTCTGATCTGAAATGTATATTCTTATGTACAGGTAGCCGCTCGTGTTAGCAGCATATCAGGTTCGTAACCTAAAAATTTTAACACGAGATAGACTGTTAAAAGCATTTGGAGCAAGTTCAAGTTTTGTGTACATGCATTACCTTTCTTGGTGTTAATTCAGCAAGACTAATAACTTACAAATGTTTTATGTTTAACAAATTGATGTTGTTCTAAATGAAAACCATTTCACTTTCTAAATTCAGAGTTTCAAACTTTACAGAAAATATTTGTAAGATGTTACACAGAAGTTCACGTAACAACTGCGCGTCTGCTTCATTCCCACAGTACGTTAACTATCGAACAGTCACCAAAACTTGAAGAACAGAAAACGAGTTTATTATCAGTAAAGTTTTAAATGCTTCTCCTCATACGAATAATGATACCATGATCTAACCTGCTTATTACTGTGCTAAATATAGTGCTAAATCCAAACTTTAAAACGTAATATGACAGATAAACAAGTTAATAGCTTCACACACACACACAAATGGTGAACAGATCACCTAAAAATATGGACTACCTGTGCTTTGTCCGCTGCGGGGATCGAGCTCCGAATCCTAGTGCTATAAACCCTCAAGTTTATCGTTGAGAAATCGGGTACATAGAGCTTAATGCAGAAAGATGGAAAATACGTTTTTGTGCTGAAAATTTATTTTATGAAAAATAATTGAATTCCTGATGGTGACAGGTGTTCTTGTTTGTTTGTTTGTAATTATGCACAAAGCTACACAATGGGCTATCTGTGCTCTGCCCTCCACGGGTATCGAAACCCGGATTCTAGCGTTGTAAGTCCGCAGACATACCGCTGTGCCACTGGGGGGCCGGTGTTCTTGTAAAAATTATTCATAAAAACCAAAAGGCATAACGAGTTAACGTAAAAGTTATAATGCTAAGATGATTTCTATTATTAAAAGCTTTTTAGGTGCCTCAAATATATTCCTTCAGTCGTTTACACCCCTTTGTTCCATTTACTTTAAACTTGTCTTTCAGTTTATTTTGCGATCACATTTCTTCGTTACCAAATGTATTGGTCACGTGACTAGCGTCACGCCACGTTTCTAGAACTATCCTGTTCCTTCGTGAATGCCCTAGCATTTACTAGATATATGTTAGTCTGGTATATATATATATATAAGACGCTCACAACGTGACGGGACAATGTGTGTGTAGGTAGTGAGTAATTGAACTGCAGTCAGAAAGTATTGTTAAAGTTCGTTGTTATAGCGTTTGTTATAGAGCGACTGTTGAAAATAAGTGTATCGGTAAAGTTATATTCGGAAAGAATAAACCAGTTTTATTAAGAAAGGACTTGTGTCGCTAAAGTTTCGTGGGAACGAAGTTACGGAAGATCAACTAACGAACGGAGACGTAACAGTATATTATACTTCTATTAAAAGGAGTTACTTTTTAACCCAAATGTATATATTATACTTCTATTATAAGAAGTTACTTTTTAACTTAATCCAATTGAATAAAGGTTTCAACCTTCAATTTTTTTTAAACTGTTTTCTTTCGTTTTCCTTTAAAACGCCCCTGTCGTTTCCTGTTCACCTGGCTAAAGACATCCTTAATTTCATTTCCGCCACATCAGAATCTTGTTATTTTAAACTTATTGCTAATCAAAATATTGTTTTTACATCGTTCATGTGCAAGTATTCCATTGTTCTAAACTGTCCCCCCCCCCCCCAGTGGCAAGCCTGAAGACTTCACGCT